ATTTTTATGATAGCAGTAACTGTAAAGGGACTATTGTAATGGGTAAATCAAATGTAAGCTAGTTCAGTACTAATTACTTAGCTCAAATGAGTTAATGTGTGCTTCTTATAGCAGTTTAGAAGTCATTTTCTCTATTATTTATTTTCATTTTAATTCAGTGATTTTAACTTTTAATTGAGTTATTTTAATGCTTTAAAGAGCCATTTTTGATTGTAATGTTCTGTTCTGCTATCTTATATTTTCTCCATTGCATCATATTGCATCGAATCGCATTGTGTTGAATCGAATCGAATCGAATCGAAATTGGATCGCACTGCATGTAACGGGTGAATCGTATCGCATCACATCGGTAGCTGCTTCATATGTATCTTTAATGTATCGTATCGTTGGCTATGCATCGAGATGCGTATCGTATCGGCCTCAGTCATGAGATGCACATCCCTAATATGCATCGTCAGGGTTTGTAATCAATTCATCGATAAAACGAGTGAATCGTTACACCCCTACAAAATAGAGCTGTCAACCCCCAAGGGTAATTTACCATGAGCCAGGAATTTCTAAGGTTAAAATTCAAAATCTTTAAAATAGCAGTAGTATTCTATTTATTAGTACAATTTTTAATTAAGAATTACATTTTAAAAAATTTAATTGACTTTATTTAATGAAAAAAGTGGCTAGCATTATTTGAAGATAATTTATGCTATAAAATTTTTCCAAGCTGAGCAGATCTGTTATATTAACATTTCTCTGTTTTTGTTCATCTGTGTGACACTATTTTCCTGTTTAATACTGTAAAGCAGCTTTGACACAGTCTGTATCGTATAAATATATAAATAAAGGTGACATGACTTGATATTTATTTTATTCACGTCTCACGTTGCAGATCCACAGGAGGGCTGTGTGGTGGTGTTGCCTGTGGAGTCCCAGAAGAGGCTGGTTCAGATTCTCCATTTCCTGCCAGCATTTCCCGCAGAGCTTCTGGCATGTCTCAGTCAGGTCTGCAACACTGGGAGAGTGTCGGCTAGCCTGGCCACCATGCTAATACGCACCATACACCTGAGGTATGAGGGTTATGACACATCATCGTGCACTAATGCAATCCTAAAGTCTGCTTCCAGTGTTCCACTCTGGGGCATCAGAGATCTAGTTTCTCAGGGGTACAGGGCATGGGTGTAAAAAGCCAGGGAAAAAAAAGAACAGTGTGTGGTATTGTTATGAAACATGAACTCTGTTTTTAAACCTAGTAAGCTGTTTCACTGTCTACAAGGGCTGCAATCTTCAAAGGCAAGATCCTAACAAAATAGGAAACTTTTAAATTATAGGTTCTCAAACTTATTTTGTCTGCTGAATACATAATTTTTTTAATTAAAGTACCACCCATATACCCCCCCTCCCACACACACACTCCCATTTTAATGTAGTTCTCATGAGTCAAGCGCTACTTAACATAATACTTGCTAAAATGGAAAAATATGTGCATTAGTGTATGTTTGACCGAGACTGGTAACGCATGTGCAGCTCGGCCCCTGGAGGGGAGTATCTGTCTGCATCTGACTGATATGTTTAAAATGTGACTCTACGACTGCCGAGAGGAGACAGCAGTCTCAGAGTTTTCACTGCTAATGGAATCAAACAATTTAACCAATCAGAGACAACCAAGCGCTGTGCGGCATGATCAGAGGATGTCCAATTACTTAACTCTGATTGGCCGTGACCGCTAGTCATTAACCGTGATTGGCCATAATGAGGTGGAACAGAGCCACGAGTCACTGCGCAGTGAGGCAGAGGTCATACTGCAGTAAGTTTAATATATTCAGAGTTATCGCTGACTTTAGTATACACAACACTTATTTTGTTAGTTTTTTTGTTTAGTTTGCACAGTTTTTTGTCAAGAAGGTTTTCAAAAATGTTGTTTATAGTGAGAGTGCCTTCAGGAAAGGAGAAGGGATGGGCATTTTGAGTAGTTTTGTTGTTGAATAATTTAACATAAATAAGTAATTGATTTAATTGAAAAAGGTAGAAAGGCAATAATTGTGCAAACAAGAGAAAAAAGTAGCAAAATAACAGAAATGAATTACAAATCTATAGTGATTTCTTCAGAAACGTTGCATCAAGTTTCAGCTTTAATATATGCTTTTTATGTAATCAATAATATGCTTTTATAAAAACATTTACAAAAAGTAAAACTGTTGTTAATGATTAAAAGTGTTTTCAGTAATGAAATAAAACTGGAATAAAATATTAGATAAAAAAACAAACAAAAAAATTTTTAGTTAAAGCACTAAAAATGAATAAATAACAGATTTTTATGACAACAGTACATAACAAAATGACTAAAACTTAAAACAGCTAATACAAAATATTAATAAATACTATAAAATAATATAGATAATACTAAAATAATACTGCACCTCACATACAAAAGACACATACAAAATTCATGTCTATATAAAACCTCTACATTTTGAATCATAAAAAGCACATTTTTATCATTTTATATGTTCATATTTAGAAAAAAATATTTACAAAAAGACTGTTATGATAAGCGTCCAAGTTTGAATACTTTTTTGTTCTTTGTTTGTTGGCGGATGAGTAATCAACAGTCTGTTACTTGTTCATGGATGATTGACAGAATATTCCTTTGTGAATTCCTCAGCATGCTGAGGGCCTTAGGGTGTGTGTCTGCGTGTGTGTCTTTGTGACATGCTGTGTCCCCATTGCTTTTTTTATAGTCACTAGCCTAAAGGCACTCTTTTATTTGTGATTTCCCTTCAAATCCTAATGGGAGCAATGTTTGAGAACACACTGAGTGTGTGACTTTGAGTCCCCACCGTGACGTGTGTGAGTGTATCTTGGATACACTGCCTTTCCTCTGGTCTCTCTGTTTGCTCATAAGAACAAGACTTTATTAAATGTGTTCGAACACCTACAGAGGGCAGTATTACTCTTTTTATGAGACATGGAACAATCATCAAGTTCAGAGTCACACCAAAATTCCAAAACAAATGCTACGGCAAGTGAATTCACACCGACTGCACTTTTGAAAAATCTGGCCCTGCGACAGGATTCCTTTGCGATAAGTGAAGCATCACTTAAGGCCGCTTCTGTTCATGGTAGAACTGCGTGACATGCTGTTAAGAGAGCCAATCCTTAGAACAACATGAACCGAACAATCTGTCCCTCACAAGAATTTAGCTTTGATCACATCAGCGAAACGACTAACTGAATGGTGGCTTCAGAAAGTGTTGCTAAACTTAGACAAGAATGGCTAATAGTATAGCTATAGTATAGCTATAGAGTGTGTGTGTGTGTGTGTGGTTGGCACACAGAAAGACACAATGAACAGTAGCATTTTATTCCTTGGTGCATCTTTCTGTATGTGTGTGTGTGTGTGTCTGTCTGGCTTCTTTTTACTAATGGGTTGATGGGAAATGAGCCAATCAGTATGTATTAAGGAAGTCCAGCACATGCTCATTCCACAATCACAAGAGAAATGAAATCAAAACAAGTAAAAGATCAGATATTCATTCACTTTACTGGCCTCGAGACTGATCCACATCTATAAGGGAGAATCATAAGACTGCGTGGATTGTCCTGAATAGCTTTAACACAGACACACACACACTGGTTCTTTCTGATTTCCTTCTCAGAAAAGCGTGAGTATAAAATGGTCACTTCTGACAATATCTTGCCATCAAGTTCCCACTGAAGCCTTGAACACACATATAGAAGCACAGCAAGCAACACATGGAGCCTGTGACAGACTGACCTGAATGTGTTGGCTGTGGCCTCTTGGTTCTCCTGCACTCTGTGTTTGATCACAGCAATTACCTGGCTTTAACTGTTACGAACCAGCTGAGAAAATGTCCATAAAAGCTGCTGGTACTTCATTTGGCAACATTTCATAGTTTAAAGGTGCTGTGTGTAATTATTTTGATGTTAAAATGTATACTTAACTTTAACTTTATTTAACTTTTGAACTATCTTCAGCTTAATGCTGAGAAACAATGAGCTGTTAATAGTTTGGCTTCCTTGAAGAGTGGCAACATTTACTTTTTTCCTGTTTCCTCCCTTGTAATTTATTCCTGTGATGGCAAAACTGAATTTTAAGCAGACATTAATCCAGACTTTAGACATGATCCTTCAGAAGTCATTCCATTATGATGTATTGCTGCTCAAGAAACATTTCTTCTTATTAATGATAATAGTTGTACTAATTACTTATAGCTGTACTTAAAAAAGTGATGCATTTTTTTAAAGGTTTTTGTTTAATGAATAGAAAGTTCAAAAGAACAGTTTCTATTACAGTTTCTACAGATATTATTTTTTTAATAATATCAAAATCTTTACTGTCACTTTTGGTCAGTTTAATGCATCCTTGCAGAATAAAAGTTTTTGAATATAAATTGCTGAATATAAATGTCAGTGTTTTTCTGCTGTGGATGCTAAGCATGCACCAGTATTAATATTCTAGCTAGTTCATAACTGATAAATAGTGGATATTTAAAAGCTGTTATTTTGTCTAAAAATAAAGTACAAAAAAACTAAAATCATCCTTACAAAAAAGTTATTTTTTTTCTTTTATGTAAAGCATGTACAACTAGGTTAAAGTGTAGTTTGATTCAATCGGTGGAGTTTTAAGGAGTTAAAGGTGGAGTTATTGTGCAAAAAAAAAAAAACCTCTGTGGGTTTGGTTTATGGAATAACTTAAAATCTTCTTAAGGAACAGTAAGTGTTGTCTGTCATATTGTAAGGATGACCCCAGTGTTTCCTTAATACCATGAGTGTTCTCATTCGCTTCAGTGTGGCCGTGTTTGTGGTGGGAGTTTGATTTCAAAGGAAATGAAGGAGCTCAGATGGCCAGTATTTTTAGACTGACATTCTCACCACACACACACACACACACACACTCAGGTACAGTGTGAGATGTGTAACAGGAGAGCGGATCAGTGCCAGACCACTGCACAGTAATGCATGTGTGCTTCCTCGCAGGTCTCCTCTGTGTGGCTGGTCGAGCAGTTCACAGGATGTGCCGGTGAAAGATGTAGATTACCTCAGTTTCTTTTTCACCACACTAACAGGTGCGCACACACGCATCACATTCAATGAAATGAGTACCGACAGCATACTCGATATTGATAAAGTGGTGTTCCCATGATCCCATGCTTCAGGTTTCTCCTCTGAGATGCTGCAGGCCCTTCAGGACACAGATGAAGACTGCCTGTTGCCCTCCTCCATACTCTCGCCCCTCAGCGTATTTGCTACCACCCTGGAGCAGTTCCTACACCACTGGGATATAGTGGAGGTATTTCTCTCTATCTTTTTTATCTGCCAGTCCTTTTCTCCACCTTCAGTCGCTCCAACAACTTGTGTTATGTCAGTTGTTCTGCTGTCAATCGCTGGCGTATGTTTCTAATCCTGTTGTCATCTGCTCTGTCCCCTGTGAGCGTCTCTCTCATCTGCTCTTGTCAGTTAGTCTGGCTTGTCAATCATTTGGTTGCTCTAGTGTCAGTCCGTTTGTCTGTCTGCTGTTGCCTAGATGCATTTGCATTACACAGTGATTTCACCTGGCACAAAAAAAACTTTTCTAGCATCAAATAATTTTTCTGTTACAATTAATCACATATATGAATGTTTTCTGAGAAAAGACCCCAAATTAGAAAATTAAGAAATATAATTCAAAGACATCACATTATTTTAAAAGATAAAATCATTGAAATTTAGTTTTGTTTTGCAGGGTACTTCGTATGTGTAATTTGTTTGTAAGAGGCTGTGTCAAAATGTTATTTAATTTTTTAAAATTAATTCAACTTTGCACATGTTTCCCAAAACCATTGCATTTGTTCCATTCTCTTAATTTATAATTAATCACACTAAATGAATGTGTTAAAATTACAACCCTAATAGCACAGATGCTTTAAAGTGACATTTTCAGGAGAAAAACTCTGAGACTTTTTTTACTTTTTCATACACATGTGAAAACTAGATGAACATTAACAGGAAACATAATGTAGTTTTTCTGCTGAACTAGATTTTTTTTTTTCTCACAATTCCCCCCCCGCCATGTTCTTGTGTGCACATGAAATTTCAGTTTTTTAATAAATACCAAGCAGTGTTGTTGCATGTTGTGAAAGGGATATGAATCAGTCATGCTGTTCACCTTAATCACACCCATCATGTTTAATGCCAAACGTGTGCATTTTTCAACTTCTACCAAGAAGCAGGTGTTCGCTTGATTCGCTGCAGGACCATTTGGGTTGTTATTCAACGCATAAGTGTGTTTTAGTTTCCCCCCCTGGAGACGGCCAGTTCGTTGAGCAGGGGAAGGTTTATCGCATCGCACCGGTGTATGTGTCTCCATATTTCAATAAGGGCTGGTTATCAGAGCACTCCTGGCTAAAGCAAATGCTAATGCCAGCCAGCGGACACCATCACCACCTGACATTTTACACGGAAATTAAAATCTGGGCCAGGGGCTGACTCTCACTGCCCCCCTCCCTTTACTCCAGACACACAGCTAATTCCTCTGTGCAATTTTCTCTGGACTTTCATTTTTTGTGTCCAAGTCAATCAGACAGTAAAGGTGTAGAGGGATGGCTGGCATCACCGTTGATACGGTAATGAGGAGTGACGGGGGAGATGATGCCAGCAGGTGAGGCTGATGGAGAATAATGGACCTTAATGAGGAAAAGAGCCTGTTTCCCTCCTCACATACACAAGCACAGGACACGCTCTCTCTCAACTCTCATCACTTAACTTGTGCTTAATTAGAAATTATATTTAACCGTAACAAAAATCGCTGTACAAAAACAAATTCAGCACTTTGGCTAAATAAAACTTTTGGTACAAGTTTATTGTACTTTCAACCTTGTGGGAAAAAATTAAGATTAAATATGTTTGAAAACTATTTATTGGATACTTTTTTTATGTATATAGAAAAGAATCAATCCCCTTTACAATAATCACATTTTGTTGCTTTGCAAAGCCATTTGACTTTCAACTGTGATCAGCTGTGGTCATTTTGATTAGCTCAGCATGAAAAGAGATTTCCTGGAGCATTTCAGTCCTTGGTAGGGCAACTGAAGCAAATAATCAACTATGGGTGGCAAGGCACTGTCAAACGATCTCCAGGAGAAAGTTGTGGACAGGCACAAGTCAAGAGATGGATACAAAAAAAATTCAAAGGCTTTATCAATGCGTAGAAGCACAGTAAAGTCTATTATTAAGAAGTGGAAGGTATTTGGTACAACACAGACCCTCCCTGGATCAGGCCGTCACTCCAAACTGGATGAAAGAGCGAGGAGGAAACTGGTCTGAGAGGCGGCCAAGAGACCTACAGCAACTCTGACGCAGTTGCAGGAATTTTTGACAAAGAGTGGTCATTGTGTGCATGTGACAACAATATCACAAATTCTCCACAAATGTGGCTTGTATGGGAGGGTTGCAAGAAAAAAGCCACTCCTCAAGAAAGGCCACATGTAGTCACGGCCTAGTCAGAGCCCAGACTTAAACCCCACTGAAAATCTGTGGAATGACTTGAAGACTGCAGTCCACAAACGATGTGGGCAAATATTGCAAAGTTATTAGAGACATATCCCAAACTAAAGGCTGTATTTAAAGCAAAAGGTGGTTCAACAAAATGACTTTTTCCAACTTTTTAAAACTACCAAGGACTGAAATGCTCCAGGAAAGCTCTTTTCATGCTGAGCTACTCAAAATGACAACAGCTGAAAGTCAAATGGCTTTGTGTGCCATTGAAAAGGTGATTAGCTACACCTGATTGAGTTTACAATACATTTTTAGGGGTGATCCGGTTTTGTTTTTTTTTAATTTTCTGACATATTGCGTTATATCTTTCACTTGTATGTTATAAGTTGCACTGAGTAAATACAGCTGGATTAAACAGAAACTGTGTCCGTCTTCATTTCAGGCTGCAAAGCAACAAAATGTAATTATTTTAAAGGGGGGTGATTCTTTTCTATACCCACTGTATGTATATGTGTGTGTGAGTGAGCTGTTACATTTTCTTTTTATATTATTTTATATATTTTTTATATTATACGTTAACATTGCTGAAATATGAAACACCAAGTAAATAAGAACAATTCAAATTTTTTTATTGGTAAAGTAATTTTTAGCACCTTTTTTTTTCTTTTTCTTTACAGCTCTGCTGAGAAATCCTAATGTGCTAAAGCGTAAAAAATGTGCTAAAAAAAGTGTCCTTCTAATCCTATTGGGATTTCACATCACACTCTTAAAGAAAATTCTCACTTACTGTTTCTCAGATATATAGCTTGGCAGATAGCATCAAATTAAGTTTGAGTGTGGTGTGTGTGTGTGTTTGAGAGCGAGAGCGTATGGCTGCTGGGGGTCCATTCCTTTATTGCCAATCAGGTGTCTCTAATCTAAAGCATGCGTAATGTGTTCTTAACACTGTTAGCCTGATTAATGTCTGATAATAACCTGCTCTGAATGACATTCCGCTCCGCCTTCATCTGTTTAATCTAATCTGCTCTAATGCTATTAGCACTATTAGATTTCTCACACACATACACTCACACACTTATTTATTGTTAGTGCTCATAAAATATCAGTTCAGAGAGTGGCAGGGCATCGCTAATCCGTCCATTGTCAACTTCCATTATGAGAGACCGGCCATAGTGGCGAGGTACAACCCTTTGAGCCTGTCACTGTATATGTGTGTGTGGTGCTATAGGATTCTTTGTTCTCTGCAGACTTCTAGGACCAGGGATTTATTTTTGTCTCACCTAAACCGTGTGTGTGTGTGTCAGATGTTAAGATGTTGTGATGTATAATTCAAAGGTTCTTTGTAGAATGAGATAGGAAAAAGTGTCATCTTTCTATCATCGTTCACTCTGTAAAATGACTCTTCTCTGAAGATGAGTTATGTTCCTAAAATCTGTGTAGTCCTTTTGCCTAGCCTTCGGCTGGATTTCTGTAAATGTTTGGTTCAATGCAGAATTTGATTTATATATACAGTGTATAGGGATATGCCGGTATCAAATTTTCATGTTGCGATTAATTGCTCATGCTTTTATCACGGTGTACGGTATTATCACGGTATTGACATTTAGTTTAAAAAAAGTGCTGTCATAATACAGTATAACAGGTTTAATAACTTTTTTCTTATAACAAAAATAACTGAACATTTAAATGCAATAAAGCAATACAGAAAAATGTATAAAGTTAAAAGTTTTACACAGATTAAAGTGCAAAAGAACTATAAAGACCAATAGGTATCACTTTACAATAAGACCTCATTAGTTAACCTTAGTTAATGCATTAACATTCACAATGAGCAATAGCTACATTTGCTACAGAAGTTATTAAT